ATATAGATAAATAACATTGTGCTCTTCCTCTTCTGCTGCAATTTGAATAAATTATGGGACAAGCGCGAATACTATAATAAAATACAAAATGCTGCTTAGTGTGTGGGTGTGTGTCTCTGCTGAACACAAACAGCGGGAACAGTCGAAATTGTGCTCAGTTAAGGCGTACAGTGTACACAAAAGGAGAATAGTTTCAACTCTGCTCAGCCAAGACATAAACCAAGCGAATTGGTTGAGTGCCTTAATTGAGTGACAATAATTGGTGAGCTTCTATCAGCCAAGACAGAAACCAAGCGAATTGGTTGAGTGGCCTCACTGAGTGAGAGCTGTTTGTGTTGCCCGCTTTTGGGAGCAGCAGAGCAAAGCTATCGATGAATTGAACTAGAGGCTAATTGGATGGGCTAGTCCTTGCAGTAATGCGCATGCAGAATATTCTCCGTGCCGGACAGTATGGCACCCTCGTGCAGCGGACAGAGCTTCAGATAGAGATCACTCGACTCCATCGACTCGATCAGAATGTACTCGAGATAGATGCGCGGCGAGGAGAGGATGCGCCACGTGAGCGGATTGAGGAAGTTCGTCTGGTACTCCCAGTAGACGCTGGCGTGTCCCGGCTGCTGCAGGTCGCGCCCAGGCAGCAAGGCCGTATACTCGAAGCCCGGCTCGAAGTACATGGCCTTCTGTGAGAACTTCATGCGCTCCGTTGTCTTCTTCTTGTTGCGCTCCTCGTGCAGGCGAATGGACAGGGTGCCGATCTCGCCGCCGTGCAGTGTGCTCTCGTCGTGACTGGAGACACGCACCGTTATCCGATAGTGCGCCCGGCAGAAGGGCGGCCGATCGCTGGTCATCATATAGAAGACGGGCGGCGGATCCTTCGGCTTGATCAAGCCCCGCGACTTCTGCTCCTCGTAGTCTTGCTGGCTATGGAAGCCCATGCGCATGCACAGATGGCCCGGCTCATCGCAGCTGATGCACTTTGCGTCCTTGAAGCTCTGCAGGATCAAAGAAAACGGATTAGAGCTGCATGGCCAACCAGGAGGCGGCTCCCTCTCACTTACCTCGTACGAGTCGCACGTGATGCCCAGGAAGGGGCACTTGCTCGTGATGCTCTCCATGAAGAACTGCTCGCTGCGCAGGTGATTGCAGCCGATGAACTCCTGCATGGTCATGAAGAAGGTGTTCTTCCGGTTGTTCTTCATCACGTCCTGCAGCTTCTTGTCGCAGCCGGGATTGTCGAAGCCGCCGTTCGGATAGAAGTCGACGTGGCCGATGCGCTGAATGATGCCCAAGCCGCCCTTCATCAGCGGATTGGCGTCCGTGTGCAGAATGTCCACGAATTTCGCATCGGAGCGATCCAAGCGCACAATCCTATCGGTGTCCGTGAACAACGGCGCAGCCGGATCCAGGCCCGTGATGCGGCCCAGCTTGAGCCCAAAGTCGTGCTGCAGATGATAGCCCGCATAGCCGGATAGATGGGAGCCCAGCGAGTGGCCAATGATGTGCACATTGTCCAGATTGGGCATCCGCAGCTCCTCGTACAGCATGTGAATCACGTGGGCAGTGATGGAGCCGACGAGTCGTATATTGGCCACGGCCTGCACATACGGCGGACTCGAGCCCCCACCCCAGTCGATAATGATGACAGCGCACTCGCCCTCCGCGCACTGGCTGAGCAGCGTCCGTCCCATCTCCAGCATCCAGGGTATTGCGCCCGACTCCAAATAGCCGTGCACCACCAAATAGAGCTTCCCCTTGGGATTTATGCCCATGGTATGCACACTGTCCGGGTCGTTCAGGTCAATGTACTTGGCGTGCTCCATGGAGCGGTCCGTGTAGAGCGTGTAGTGCGGCTCGATCTCCGACGGCTTCTGCGGGTGCACGCTGATCGTGCGCGTCACCGTGTTCCACGGCCCGTTGATCGGGAAGCAGCCGTAGACGCCAAAGCACTTCACCTCGTTAATATCTGTGAATGGGAAAATGGGGAATTCAAATTAGTGCTATGTTAGCAACAGTAGTGGGATATGTTATGGGACTGTTGAGAAATCGAATTATCATTATGACTGCAAACACTGAAGCGGCAATAGCAGCTAGAAAATGTTATTAACATTACATTCTCGGATTAACATGCTGCAAATGTTATTATCTAACAGAACCTGTAAAGCGAAATACTCCATTTAGAAGACATTTAAACCTTCCTTGAGTCAATTCCTTTATAAATCGAGTCTTCTGCTATGAAAGGCGTGAAGTTTACCCTAACATTAGCTTAACATAGCAATCGCCATATGCCTAATGTCATTACAGGCTAAAGAATCTATAATTGAAATAATTAGAAACGACATTGAACATGACAAGCGATATGTAGTTAGGGTATGTTAAGTCACTGTTAGACTTTAGCCAGCTGGCAAACTGCACTTGTTCTTAGCCACTGTTAATTGACTGTTAGCCAATTAGCAATGTCATTGACTGTTCCATCAAGCGCAACATTTCCTATCGACTTCCTTTTCCAGCTGCTCAACGTTGCGTGGCACTTGGAATTCGCTCGACCGATCAGATGATCAAATGATCAACTATCGAAAGATCTAGAGATCAACTGAGAATTGCTGATGAATTGCTGATTAATTCACTAAATGCCAAATTATGATTGTCATCTTTGCCGTCATTCTCGATTATTGTCTGCCGACTTTTACTCGATACACTTCAAGTTTTGCTATTTCACATATTCGTTATTCCAATTCTTGTATTTCTGTTGATCATTGAGTCTTGTATGATTTCGTTAGCATATCCATTGAATGTCGACTGGAAAAATCTATTTGCTGTACTACTTTCCGTCTGGCAATCGAGCTGAGTGACCCAACTAGCTAGTTGGGTATAGCTGAGCCGTATGCAAAAGAAACTCATGGAAATGGAATTGAAATGTTTCTCTCTCTTTTTACGCAGAGTGTGCAAACATTGTGTGACAGCTTTTGGTAGTCGACCTGCAAATACCCTGTAATTGCCTATATCACTATAATCAGTTTAAAGCAGCTTTACGTACTTGACTCAAGTTGAGCCATAAAAAAAACACCTATAGTTCTTAACTAAGTTTTTATCTTAATTGCAATGTACAAGTCGTTAGTGTAAATGCTTTTTTCGCTTAGTCATCAAACTTGTATTAATGGAGCGTACACTCATTTTGAATATACATGTATAGGGTATATTTAGCAAGTCTTTCTCTTGTTGAGCTTCCTGTATTGGTATATGCATATAAGTATGTAAGATTTGAGCACTTTTTATCTGTATATATGCACATTCCATATCGCCTGACACTCTGCGCTATCGACCCCAGACACAGACATTTGAAATAAGCTAAGAACTTAAATATTGATAGTTATCTATCTATACACAGATAAAGCAAGAAGTGGCTAGAAGAGGCTTGCAATAGTTAGCCAGATATTTGAGCTGGGAAAAGTATTTGGTTTCCTAGAACTAAATAATTTAAGCTGCAAAAGCTTTCTAGCATATGTTTGGAACTATTAAGCTTGAACCATAGTCCATGGATTCATAATAGTCCATGTAACAGAAAAATGTTTGGTTCATAAACTGGGTATGATGGTATCCAATCCATCTAGGAAAAGTATTTGATACATAGATAGATATTGAAAACATAAAAATTGAACTAGAATCCGGCATAAAGCTTCATATTGGAACTATTTAAAATTTTAACAAAGAAAGGTATCTGAAAGATTCAGTTTGGAACCATCAGAATTTGAGCTAGACTAATACTAGGCAGAGCTTGAGAGCTAGAAACTGTGAATATCTAAGAAATATGCAAATATGCATGCTAGCATAGGCTTCACTGTACCATAAGCTACACTGCGGTTTTTCTATTATCAATTGGGAACCGCAAGCTAAAAATAGAAAAGCTCTGGCCAAAGGAATTTCAGCTGAGCAATTTGGTCACCTAGATTAGGCAATCGGCGGTGTCTGCGGTGATAGATAGACCCGTTTTCAGCCGATCTGGTCGGAACACTTACCGCTTTTGGGTGCCGGTGGCATATCGATCAGCGTGTTGACGGCGGCTCGGCTCGTGTGGTTGGCCAAGTAGAGCATCGTCTGCAGCATTAGGCCACCTGTTGTGTTGGCCACATACATTTTGCTCGCCTCGATGGTTCTTCAGCGCACGTTGTCAATTGTTCTCGTTGTTGTTGTTGTTAAGCTAGTTGTTATTGTCGTTTTTCACCTGTTGCTGTTGCTGCTGCTGTGGTGCAGCCTGTCTGCATTTTAGGCACAAACTAAACTAAATCACATTTATACCGCACGTCAAAGTTTTTAATTCTATAAATTGCTTTAGTTTTGCTTTTTATAGATAGCTTAACTGAAGAAGCTAAGACAGTTATTGTCTTTGTTTGTTTAATTAAATTAATCTTATCGTAAATAAATCGCGCACTTCTCCCTCTCTCTCTCTCTCTCTCTCTCTCTCTCCCTGTCTCGCACACACACTCTGCAACTGTCTATCTATATCGGTGTCTCGCTCACACAACACCCGACATTCACTTTGGGTCTCAGGTATAAAATTCTGCTCAAGTTTTTTTGCACGTTTCTTTCATTTGCACCAGCCGAGGGGATTAAGAAACAGAAACTGAAACAGAAGTAGACGAAGTAGTTGAAGAAGAAGCTGAAATGAATCTCCCGTAAGTCCCGTTATTTGCACGCGTTGTCTGTTGCGTATGACGGCCGACAGAGCACTGAGCCAAACAGCTGGGCCGCACGCAATTTGTACGCGGCGACGGCGACGGCGACTTGAGCTTCGGCCTCGCCGCTGCAGCTGAGCGGGGTATAACGGCACTGAGATAAGCTTTGCCCCGCTCCTCCTACTACACGAGCATGCAAAGCCCAGGCTGCAAAGTACAAAGTGACGTCGACAGCGATGCCGACGTCGCCGCCGACGTCTTTGTCAGATGCACTTTAAACACGATAAGCGCGACAAGCGAAGATCAAAGTCGCAGCGCCGCCCAGCCAAAAGCTCGCAATGGCTTTGAACTGAAGCTTAAAGCTTCTGACGCAAACTCACTGTAATAGAATAGCGGAAGAAGCACCGAAAAGTGATGAGACAACAGAGCAAAGACACAGCTTGGAATTGGCATACGTATGTATGTATTGCAGATAAAGTCGCCTCCTACAGACTGATGACTGTACAGTGGAGCGCGCAGCGCGCTTATCGCCTGCCAATCGGCAAAAATAAGAAAAACAAAACTCAATAGAAATCTCAATTAGAAACTGTGTCAAGCTCTCACAGCTGGCCCGCCCCCCACCAGATTCGGGGCGGGTTCAATGCAATTGGCATCTGTGGAGCGGCGCGGCGCGGAGGGTGGCTCAGCTGTTATCAGCGATCTGGTTCCGTTACGGATTCGGATTCGGCATTCAGGGCAGCGAAAACAGAGTCCGAAGTCCGTTGGCAAAGGTGTTTACCGGCCTGCCAGTCACTTGACTTTTCCACCAGGATCTCAATGCGCCATTGACGTCAATGGGTGCTGCTGCTGGACCCGATCGCCCAGAATAAACCGGCTCAGTTATCGCCGCTATCAGCGATCGCTTCATACTACATCATTCTTCTTCTACTTCTTCTTGGCTTTGCTTTTGTTTTTACTTAGCTTTGCTGTTTATGCTCATCTCTCTCTCTCTCTCTCTCTCTCTCTCACTCTCTCTCTCTCTCTCTCTCTCTCTCTGTCTATCAAACGAACGAGCGCAGCGAAAGGGGAATACCACACACACACACTCACAGCTAGCTGAGGGGTCGTCGGGAAGAGACGAACGGGGGAAGGAGGAGTGGGACGTACGGTTAACATTGGTTTAAAAATAGAATCGAACGTCTAGGGAAACAAAAATTGGCTTAGTTTCCACTTTATTGACTTAGTGCAATCGAGCTGGCATTTCTATTGATTTACATTCTGGGATTACGGCAAATATACCACCTGGGATATACCCTGTAGAGCTGTTGGAGGAAATAGTGCTTGATAGATAAGGCGAAAGCAAGCAGAGACAGTCACCAATAATGATTATTTATTATCTGTTGCAGATAAAAGGAGCAGTCGCAAGAGTACGAACAAATTTTAAATAGATAGACGTATAAATAATAAATAATAAAATCGAATAAAGCTTATTCAAATCTATATTAATTTATAACTCTGGCCTTTGTTATATTAAAGAAGGGAGTTAACCTGAGCTCTTACTCTTATAACTGGAGATTAGTTACGAAGATTCCGCCTCTCTCTCAATTTAATACCCAATACATATACATCTCTTCCATTTAATACTCTTATACCTTATGTAGATGAAATACCCTTATTACAGATAGATGGAGGAGTCGCTTGAGTAATACAAATTATAGGAGCCATTGACTTGTGGCTAATTAGATCTTGATATTCGATAACGGCATATTGAGGAGGTCAAGTAATATATGAATATATAAATATATTGAATATATTTAATTAGACTATATCAAGAGATAGATAGGTGATAGATAGATGTAGAGATCATCATAGCCAAATTCTACTCAATTCTAGAATACCCCTTTAGGATATTTCGTTTATTATAGGTAAATGGAGCAGCCGACTAGCCTCTGCAAATAATGGATAGATATAGATTAAATAAACCTCTTTTTAATTCCAATCTACCTATATATGCCTATATCGCACCTAATGCATCGGGCAAACAGAATTCAAGACTGTAGCACCCTTATAGAGTATTACATCTGTTTTTCGCTTGAGCTATTATTAACAGCCCAACACACTGATACGATGTTTGTTTTGCAAGCGCTTCAATCAATACACAGTATTTGTTGTTTTCATTGCACTTTTCGATCTGTTTTCCAGAGAGGCCCATAGATAGTCGCCTCCGTGGAGGGACAGAAGGCCGTTGACGTCCGTTCCGACAGTTGCGCGCTCACACACTTGTTTATAATTGCAAAGTGCATTATTGAATAACGCAGCCGGTGGAGTCCAAGGGGGGTGGAGAGAAACAGAAACAGCGAAAACAAACGCCATAATAACATAACACTAGGTCAACAACAAACGAGCCTCCTGCAGCCAAGCACGCCCATAGGCGAGCGATTGAAATTTGTTGAGCTCCAATTACGTCAAACACTTTGAGGTAGCTCCTAACTACACCTAACATATGGTTCATGTTTACGTAGAGAACTGGCAGAAACTTTAACTGACAGTTGAATTCGGCAGGCAGATCAGACATTATGTAAAATATGCCTTAGATCTGACTTAGAAGACGGACTGTGTGTACCTGATCTAGATCAGAATTAGATATGCTTATAGCACATAAACTTGTCAAGAATTACTCCATAGAAACCATTACATAGATCAAGGGAGTATTTTAAGCAATATTTCTACTTCATTTTAAGAGTCAGAAGGTAAGGATCAATGTAACCTCAGTGTGCCTCTTCTTAGTGAGGCTCCATCTCTATCTATCGCTCTATCATTCTGTTTCTATAATACTCTCAGTTTCGGTCTGTTTTGCTATCTCCTTCTGTTTCTCCTCCTTGCTCTATTGTTCTGTGTTTATCTATCTATGTCTTATTATTTGCTTCTATCTTTTTTCGCACTCCCTGATTATCCACATAACTTTCATTGATTCCCTCTCTCTCTCTCTCTCTCTCGCCCTTTGAGGGTCTCTTATAGGAAACTTCCATTGCAATCTAAACAAACAAGAGCTTAGCTCAGATTTTCCCCTAAGCAATGTATATATGTAAATAAATTGAATCGAACCTTAAGTAAATTCTTGTTTATTGTTTTTTTTTTTTTTTTTTTTTTTTTTTTTTTTTTTTTTTGTTGGTTTTGTTTTTAGTTTGGTTTCTCATATATGTATGTATATTCGTATATAAAATAAAACATAATAAAAGTACAATTATTAATTATTTTCCGTCTGCATCCGGTGATGCAATTTGATCTCTCTTTCTCTCATTTATTTGGTTATGGTAGACAATCGTTGGTATATCTTTGTATAGATTAGGAAAAAAAACGTTGCAGGCACTTGGCATAACTTATTGTCGTTAAAATTAGTTAAGGCATATCGCGATGGGAAGGAGCGGGAGGAGGGGCGGGAGGACATCAGTTAGGTACAAAAGATTGGCACTTAGCGCTAAGACTTAAAATATAACTAGTTAAAGATTACAAAAAAAAAAAAAAGAATAATAGAAGAGAAATAAGAAGAAGCGATCGCAGGTCGGGAATCGCTGCTCATTCGGTGCGTTGCATGATCATCTCGATCTTGTCGCCGGCTGCAGCGATCAGCGGAACGGTGAGACAGCAGTCAAAGTCTTGCGTCTTAATCTCATTGACCTGAGCGAGACAGAGAGAGGGAGAGAGATGGATATATTATATATGCATTCACGATCTGCTTCGATCCGCTGCACTTGCCTGCATGATGCGATCGAAGGGCTTCAGCTGGCCGCATATATCCGCCGGCCCGCCGCTGCGTATGCGATTGATGAAGACGCCCCGCTCGTAGAGCCCATCCGAGACGGAGAAACCATAGTCATCGTAGACTCGATCCTTGTGCAGTGTGACATGGAAGATGCGCTGCTGCTGCTGTTGCTGTTGCTGCTGCTGCTGCGATTGCGCCTGATCCTTGTTGCTGCCGCTCGCCTCGGTGTTGGTCGATGGACTGCGCGGACGTCGCTGCACCTTGGCATAGATGGCCTGCGTCGCAGCCGGCAGGCTGCAGCTGGAGCTGCTGTTGATGTCGTGGCTGCGCAAAATCTTGAGGTCCACGACATCGCCCAGATGATGCAGCAGGCTGGTGGCATGCGACAGAGGCATGCCCTGCACCGAGTGCTCATCGATGGCCAGCAGCTGGTCGCCCACGTGGATCTGACCGTTCTTGAACGCAATGCCGCCTAAGGAGTTGGGTAAGCTGGGATCAGTTGTGGCCTCAGGCTGTGGATCGGCACTTACCCTCGACCAGTCCGCTAATGGTGATCGGCTTGGTGATGTCCTCGCTGCCCGCCAAGGTGATGCCCAGGAGGCCGCCCTTCGGCTCCAGACGCACTGTGAAGATGATCTGATGCAGGCTGCTGCCGCTGCTCTTGCTGCTGGAACTGGCCGCCGAGCCATACACCTTGCTCTCCATGGGCGGCGGCAGAGCAGTGCAGTCCACACTGCGAGCGAGAGAGCGAGAGAGAGAGAGAGAGAGAGAGAGAGAGAGAGTTTAGTGAGATTTGCATATGGTTTAACTGTAACCTGACACTCACCTGGCATAACGATTCAACTCGTAGCCGCCGTAATGGGAGGCCTGCTCATTCTCGTCATCCTGCTCGTCCTCCTCCTGCTCGGCCAGCTCGGTGGTCAGGCTCTGCGTGTTCGCGGTGCCGTTGGCAAAGCCGCGACCATTGCCCACCGGCCAGGCGCCATTGGAGGGCGGATGCCGCAGCTGCACCGACTGCAGGCTGCCCGTCTCGTCGAGACTCGAGTTGGCCCGGAAGTAGTCCGGCTGCGGCGTGCTCGACTTGAGGGAGATGCAGTCGTTGTACTTGACCTCGCCGTATTTGGAGGCCACATAGGCGCTGCTATAGAGCTCATTGTCGCCGGCAACACCAACACCGCCGGCCACCACGGCGGTGGTGCAGTTGCTGTAGATGGGTGGGTTGGGCAGAAAGTCGGGCAGCACCACACGCTTAATTGTCAGCGTGGTGAAGTCCGTTGTGGTTGCTGCTGCTGCTGCGGTTGCAGTTGCCGTGGGCAACTCCTTGAGCAGAGCATCCACATTGAAGTGCTGCACCGGATGCTGATCCACAGCCAGCAGTATGTCGCCCGGTCGCAGCGTGCCGCAGCGATGAGCCGGACTGCCCATCTTGACGTCGGAGATGACCAGACCGCCGTGACTCGAGCCGCTCACGCTGAGGCCCAGGCCGCACTTGCCCGCGCGCAGCAGCTTCACGTTGAACACACCGCTGGAGGGCACCACCGTGTCCGGCATATCGAACTCCACCTCCAGCTCCAGCCAGTGGGCGGCCGCATGGCCACCGCCGCCGGCACGGCCATCGAGCAGCTGCCGCATGGCCGCCGCGTCCAGGTTGTACATCTTATTGATGGCCACAATGCGATCGCCCGGCTGGATGCAGCCGCTGCGATCGGCCACCGAGTCGGGCAGGATCTGGGCGATGCTGACGGCGCGTCCACAGCTGCTCGCTGCGCCGAGCACAATGCCAGCGCCCTGGCTGCAGTCGAGCAGCACCGGAAAGCTTTCGGCGCGGCACAGGCCGCCCGACAGGCTGCTGCCATGCCCATTGCTGACGGCGGCCACAGTGCTGCCCGGCGCACCGCCGGCACCACCTGCACCACCGCCCGCCTCCAGGGGCAGCGAGCTCTTGCGCACGAAACGCTGCCGGCCCGGCCTGCCCGACGACTTGCGCGACTCCAGCGTGCTGAAGCTATACTTGGGACTGCCGAGCGTCGTGTGACCTATGCAAGAGAAACAAGATGTGACAGCATAAGAATCCACATTAGCCGCTGCTCCACCGTATTTATAGACGCCCAGACGCCCAGACCCCACCACTGCGCCCAGCTGTTGTTGCTTAGCCACACTATTTACGATCCTGCCGGCCCGAACTTGGCCAAAAAGCTTTTAGCGCTCGGCCTCAGCTGATGCGCTGCTGATGCTATGTGTGAGAAATAGTCCAATGCAGCTAATCCACAGCTTAGCTTGCATGTGTGTGTGTGTGTGTGTGTGTGTACTGCTCTCTGTTTGTTTGCCCCCGTCGATCTTGCTTAAGAATTTACGGCCCTAAGTAGTCGCCCATTGTCGCCCCCCGAATTATTCGACTTTCCCATTTGCCCTCGAATACAAATTGATTGGCATTCAATGTGCTCGGAGCGAGGGTAGCCCAAGCAGTTGTCAAATATATGATGACACATATACTGATCCGAATGGGCTCAAGAAAAATATGTATATATATTTAATATATGCAAACATATATTTACACTCTCACAATATTTTCAATCTTTCAGAACTTTAACACTCTACTTTAAGTAGAAGAGCTATATTCTATATTTAATTTTCGTTATGGATTCCTTATTTAGCCAATATCTTATCAGCTGTATATAGCATATTTACCTCCCACATCAAAATGAACTTATTTGCCTATAGCTCCATTTGGGAACAACTGTTCGAGCGGCCCTCGCCTCTATGTCTGGCAGCCTCTGCTGTTCATTAGCCGAACGCCCACGCAACGAGACCTTCAAATGCACCATGTTTGGTGGCTTTTGGCATTGCACAAGCGGCCAACGATTGGAGCACTTAGATAGCCAAAAAGCAAAAAAGAACGACGGACGGACGAGCCAAATGCCAATGGAGACGACAGATGGGAGCTGGCGCTGGGATCATTTTGGCTCAAGTTTTCGTTTTGGTTTTGGTTTTGGCTTTGATTTTAGTCTTGGTCTCTGTTGAACTTACCTCGTCGCGCCAGCGCATGTGCCGGCATGATCTGCATTTGTGTGTAGCCGCGGCCGGTGCCGGTGTCCAATATGGTCATCACCTCGTCGGGACTGTAGGCCGTGTGCTCGATCATGGTGTCATCAATGGAGAGCACCTGATCGCCGACAGATAAGGCGCCGCAGCTGCAACATACACAGAGATCGCATTCAGTTGGCGGTTCTCAATACACGATTTCTCACGCTAGCTAAGGCAAGCTCAAGTTGAGAGCGCGTTGCCAGACTACGCAAATGTGGCGACGTGGCAACGCTGAATTGCTAAAGCTATGCACTCGATTGACTGCAATTGAAAATCTACTGAATTTGCATTTAATAAGGGACTCAAATCGGTTAAAGGTGTTGCCAGATCACATAAAAATCTCAGTCTGTCAACTCTGAATTGCCTAATCTGTGCCTTACATTGCCTGAAATCGACTATGTGCTGCACTTAAGTTTTCTTAGAAGACTCAAGATAGCTTTCAGCGCTGCCAGGCAGGCCCAAAATAACAATATGGCAACAGCATGCATTGCAATGAAAGTTCAGGTTATTCTCTGAGTAATCTATATCTCTAAAATAAATGTAAGGGACTTTTTTCTTATAATTTGTTCTTTCTCTTTCAATTTCTTCAATTCAAATAAATTGGGTTTCAATTGGAAGAGACTCTCTTGGAATATATTTGATATATGGCTTAATTAGATATTATATTGCTTTCAGACTTACCGATCGGCAATACTGGCGGGTAGTATGCTAGCTATATAGATGCCCGATTGGGCGAGTTCGTCGATTTTGTCAGTGCTGCTGCTGGCTGTGCCCGCGGAGCTGCTGGCCGTACTCGTGTAGTTGCATAGCACCAGGCCCAATTTGTCGTTGAGGGGTCGCTCGATCTCAATGAGCAGCGGGCCCATCGAGAACTCGACGCTCTGCACAACGGAGACGTCGTATTCAATGGTTAGATTCGTATAGCCGGAAACGTGACCGCATTTAATGATCTGCTGTGCCTCCGCCAAAGTCTTTCCAATGAGCGAGATCTAAATAGGCAACGGAGGAGAGCAAGAGAAAGAGACAGAGAGAGGGAGAGAGAGAGAGAGTGATGGAGTGAGATACTTTACGGAAATGACTGAACGGAAGCATCTGTCAGCAATCGTGTCAGCAGGTGTTTGCCATCACTTGGATCACTGGTCACACTTACATTATCGACGCGCAGCAGTCGATCGCCAGGCTTTATCCGGCCGGTCTTATAGACGGGGCCATGCAGGCGGACGTGTGTTACGATCAGCGGATAATCGGCACCACCTCGCAGCGTTAGACCCAGGCAGCCGCTCTCACGTTCCACGGTGATCTGTGCCAGCTTCGAGGTGACATACAAACTGTTTTGGGAAGCTGCTGTAACAAATGCAAAACATGAGAAACAGCGATCAGACCAGTAAATAGGTATCTCTGTTTGATTATCAGTGATCAGGTATTGCTGTTCAGCGATAAAAACTCATCGAAATCACTGATCATTGATCAGCAATTATCGAACAGTGACTAGCAATCAGTAATCGATCATATTTCGATCTGCAATCAGAGATCAACAATCGATGATTATCAAGTACGATCATCAATCAGTGATCACAGATCAAGCATCATCGATCAGCGATCAGCAAACTACTATCAGATAGCTTCTTTTGACAATCAGTGATAAATTATAGCTCAATGATCATCAATTGGAATCACCGATCAGTGATCAAGTATCATTTTTCGAAGATAGGTAAGCACTGATAAATAATCATCGATCAACAACTATCAATCAATGTTCATCAATCAATGATCATCAATCAATGATCATCGATCAGCGAGCAGGAATCACAGAGTCACACTTACTGCATTCGGGCAACGAGTATTCAATCTCCACGATGGCCGGCCCCGTATCCGCTCCGGATGCGCACAGCATATTCATGATCTTCTGATTGCTCAGTCCGATTGTTGAGATGCCATCGATCTGGTGCAGACGATCGCCCGGCGCCAGAAAATCGGCCGCATGACCTACTGGATTGAGTGCGCCAATAACAGGTGGATACGATAGGTCATTGCGTTCTGTGGGTATTACAAATCGAGTGGGTAAATCAAATTAGCACTTAATCCCGCTCCATTCAACTGTTCAAATAAACACAATGCCAAGTGTAAGTCAAGGGAAAACCCATTAATCTAATCGCTAGACTTTCTGGATTTTGCCTAACCATAACAGGTAGCCCACCTGGCTTCTATAAACATTGCGGGCAGGGTTCTTACTTTACCGTTACCTGGCACCTGATTCCATTTGGAGTCTTGCTCTAGGATAAATAGATTTCATTTACAATTTAGCTCCGAGTTTTACTTCTGACTTCTATACAAATAATTTTTATGACTCAATCTCACTTAGTTAATATATAGTTTATGATACAGCCACATGGTTTCAGATATGTTGGTTGTTAGTTTGCCTATCTGCTGTGCGCTGCCTTGGTCTCCATTACCAATTCTGTCAACGGCTCGTCAGACGCACGCAGTCGCGTCTTCTGACCAAATCAAATTGTAAAAAAAAAAAAAAAAAAAAAAAAGAACTAAAGAAATGAAAAAAAAAAAAAAAAAAAAAACACAAAAACAAATAGAAAAACTACTCGTAAATAAATGTATGCTTAAAAAGCGACTGGCCGACTTGTTGTTATGACAAACAACGCGCCAGAGGGCAGCCATGGCGAGGTGCATGTGCGGTCGCTGGCAAGCTGCCAGGCCGAAAAAGCACCAGAGGAGGAGTGTGGGCGCAGGGGGAGCAGGGCACCCTGCTAATGCCCCTGACGCTGCCGCCGCCCCACCCACATTTGCATTACGGCTAACATAATCGAAGGCGAGGACAAGACGTCATCGACCAAAAGCTTACGTCAGACGTCCAGACTCTGGCTCACAGCTGAATTATGCTAGGGTTAAGCTTCGACTGACTGACTCTCCCTCTCATTCACTCTCTCTCTCTCGCTCTCTTTCTAGCCGCTTGCCTTGGCGCAGTGATGAGATTAGTCAGGGCAAATGATATAAAATTTCTAGACTACAGACAACATCTACGTCCGCCAGCGAAATATGTATTATAATGTCTGGCAGTCGACAGACTCGCCACGCCCGCTGAGGAGGGGCGGGGGCGGGGGCGTAGTCGACGGCAGATTGAAATGATGATTTATTTTGGCAGCGGCGACGACGACGACGACGACGACGGCTGCGTCGTCGGCAAACGCTGCGCCGCGTTATCGACGAAAACGCGTTCCGCATTCAAATCGCATCGGCCCACTTTTTGGCTGGAGATCAAGACCGACCCAAAAAAAAAGAGAAAAAACTAAACGCAAATATATAGAAATTAAACTACAACCGCAAATTGAAGCAGGCCCAGCCCGTTTCATAGGCATGCCAAATAAATTGCTTCTCTAACTCAATAGTTCTTCAAGAGCCGAAGGAACTTCAAAAAGTATCTTTAATGAAAGGCTGAGAAACAAGGAGCGGTCGTAGGGAGGTAGTTGGGGTAGTATGTATATTACATTTATGCATTAAATTCAATCAGCTTGTTCATATGTATTATTATGATGCGTATCTCTAAGATAATTTTATTTACAGTATTTATACTATAGATGTATCTTTGAGATACTTTATCGTGTGTCTTCTGAGTCAATTATAAGTATCGCTTAAATACATTTATCTTATATTTACTATGCTGCAACTTCTAGACCTTCTTTTTGTATCTTCAAGCAGCACTTTGCTTTGTATCTTCCAGATACTTATGCAGTATCTACAAGTTACATCATAGCAAACTCAAATATCAGTCCAAAACCAAAAACAAGCAAACATAAACAGCGCTCACTCATATATTTGACAGCTAGCAATTCCATGTTGCAGCGTCTCTGTTAATGTTAATGCCAATGTTAAGTCAATGTTTACAATTGCGTTCAAGCGAAAAGTGCTTAAGTTGAGTGTGTTTGGCATCTGCAGAGATCGAAGGCTGACAACTTAATGAATTGATTTACATACTATACAAATATRTTTCTATACTCGGCCATCAACTGATCTAGCTTTTACTTTTTCCTAGATAAACCAAAAAAAAAAAACATACCCTGAGCATTAATCATAGCCCCTATTCTCATATCACATGCCTAGCTAAGCCTTTAAAAAAGTTTGTGAATCTATTGTGAATGTTTATTATTTATTCAGTCAATCGCAACCCTTGGCTTCAACTTCTCAATTAGATCTAACAAACATAATTATGAAATAATTGAAAAATCTTTCAATCAATTTCAACTTCAGCTGACAGCTGTCAGAAATAGGATTTTCTAATTGAGCAATCAAATATTTGGCTGATGCGGGCTTCTGGTTTCCATCTGAGAGGCCCTCAGAATTATTGCAGCTGGGAAAATTGCTAACAAGAATAATTTCGATAAACAGTTTCCCTTTCCCATTCCCATTTCCCACATCCATTTTCCACTTACCTGCAAAACTGATTGCCAAATGGAGAGCGTTGCGTGGCAGCGTGATCGTTGCATAGGTTGTGCCGCGTTCCGGTGCCAGTCCGGAGTCCTCGGATTGCGCGGGGCTCATCGCTCGGTCAACTGCGAATGAAATGAAGAGCGGGCAAACGTATATATCAGCATATGGCAGCAAATCAACATCAAAGGTGTTCGCCAGACAAAGACGTTCATTGACCGCAGCAGCACCCAACCCACCCACACACACGCACACACACACATGCAGTGCCGTTACGCCGCTCATAATTTTGCCAACGGCTGTCAAAGAGAACCGCAGCGAAAAGCCTGCACTCAAAGGGAACTATATGAGGGGCTGGGGGCTCCATGCATTTCTTAATTTATTCATCAACCGAAAATAAAAACAAACACAAAATAAAAAACAAATTTTATATATACTATATATTACAGCAGAGAAAACTAACCAAAAGCAGATCAAAGCGAGCTGCAGACGTTTCGCCATGGAATTTTAGCCTTTCCGGCTGACGTAGAACAGCATGCCCTTATGGGCCGCGCCACGCCACGCCCACCTGGCCAATAATTGCCATCGAGTCACACCAAAAAATTTCGTACAAAGCCAACGACCTTCAGTGTTTCAATTAAAATGCCATCGAACAAAACCAAAAACAAATGAACATAAAAGCATAAAAAAACGGAAATTCGAAGAAAAACAAAACTAATTAATCTTTATGAATTTTTCATGTCTTTTCTTGTTTTTGCACGCCTCACCAGATGGCGCGGCGCTGCGTTTGTGTGAAGTACCTCGTATATAGGCGAGTATATTATGTAGTATATATGTAGCAGTAGTAGTAGTAGTAGTAGTATATTATTTAGTAGGCTGAGCTCTTGAAGTTCTATTTGAATGTAGAGACACAGCTACCGGCACCGTACCTTAAGTCAAGCAGTTGGCGCGTTAAATGAGCAAAGTCATCGAGAAATTCATCTATTTGCAACTTAGATTCATTGAGTCGAATCTAATGCAAGTGTTGTAAAAGCCAATAAATAATGAGATTGCCATAGAAATCAAGCAAAGCCCAGATACTCAGAAGAGTAATCGTAAATAGATCAAAGCATAGAACAGTCTTCATTTCAGTATGCATATCCTCAACATTATAAACATTTTCTTGAAGCAATTTCAATATTTATATTAATTATATTATTGGATATTCTTCTCTTTATCTTTCTTCGCTATCTGTCCTACTTTGCTATTCTCCAAGTAAATCTACCGAAACTAGCACATAAATCTTCTTTATTCCAAATTTTCTATTATTTGTTTTTTTTAAGTAAACACAAAAGCAACTTCAACTGAAGTCTCTTTCTCTCTCTCTCCCTATCTCTGTCTCTCTCATTTGTTTCATACTGTTGCTGTCTGGCAACATTTTCTTTGGTGATGTGGCAATGTTGTTCTCGCGACACACGGCGTATGCGCGATCTGCAACAATTGCGGCGTTGCGCTCCATGTGGGGCCATAGCCGAGCAACAACAGACGCGCACCTCAGCCCCAGCACAGCCACACACACACACACACACACACACACACACAGGCAAAACAACTTTGACGTAAACGGCGGTCGCTGTGGACGCGACTTTTATTTTCGAACGCTTCAATGGCGCATAAAGTTTTTCTTAATGCCCGCCCGAGTATGAAAAACAAAAACAATAATTAGGCGGAATAAAAAAACCTAAAATAACAACAATAAATAAAAAAGAAAAACCAAAAAAAAGCAAAAAAAAACAAGTAAGAACGTTGCAGTCGGGCGTTACCGACTGCGGAATACTCATTCACATCCCATCAACAATTTAGTAGNTTTCAGCTTTCTAGCTCTTCAACAAACATGATTTCTGGTATATCGGAAAATGCATTTTCCGATTTGCCACGCCCCTAGTGGGCGGATCGGGAAAATTTTAACACTTTATAAATCGGAGATATACACGAGTATGTGTTCCAAATTTCAAGTCTCTAGCTTCAATAGCGCCGAAATAGATTGCGTTCATACGGACAGACGGACAGACGGACGGACGGACAGACGGACAGACGGACAGACGGACGGACAGCAAGACGGACATTGCACAAAACCAATATACTGATTCACTTTCGTGAATGAGTATAAAAACAGCATAAGCCAAAGGCAAGGGCGGAGAAGCTAAAAAACGTAACGTTAAAATTTTGTGCGTTTCGCTTCATTTGCCAAGCACAACAACAAAATGTATCTGCAAGATACATTTGCCCAGATACATTTGCGTACCGATTCAGATATATTATATGGCACAGAGAGTTAATATATATGTATATTAGATGTGAGCATATATATAATATATATATGCATATATGTATGTATGTATATCCATATCCGTATATATGTATATCCGTAATCCTTATAGAGTGCATGTACATATTTTATTGCTTGTTTTTTATTTGACTTTTTAACAGTGCCAAATAGGGTATATTGTATTGGTATATGTATATGGTAAGGATGTGGTCATACCCAAATAGGTATGTGATTATAATCAATATATGCCAATATATATATGTATAGGTCAGAGGTCAGCTTTGTCTAAGAAGAGTTCACATAGCATAGGGACATGAATACATTCTCATTGTATAATTATCGATAAATGTGTAATTAATTGCCGATAAGCTTTTGACTAATTATCAATCAACTTGTGTCGAATTATCGATAAATTTGTTAAATACTCAAATACAGTTATCGATCAACTTAATTACAGCTATTGATCAATTTATTTAAATTATCCATCGATTTGTTGATCAAATTGTTGATTTTGGAGATTCTCGATAAATTTAATAGACATACATCGAAATATCATGGCTTCATTAGTATTCTAGAGCTTCTAAAGTATTCACAGCTAAAAAGTCTTGTTGCAATATCAAATGCTATTACAGGGTATCTGTTAGTCAAACACTTGTTTTCATGTGTAGATTTTGAGACAGTGTTTGCTTTTTTATCTATTTTGTGTTGCCATTTTTTAGCGCTTCTTTTGCTTTTTGCACTTTCTGACATTTTGTTTGCTTCCTTTTGTGCCCATTCGCTTTGAAGTCATTTTACAGTTTTACATTTCTATATTTACAATTCTTCTATTCAGTTCTATTTGTTTTTTCTTTTGACGCTTTTTGTTTTTTGTTTTTGCTATTTTTGTGCGGCTTTTCATTTTGATTTTCCACGAGCTGCTGCACGTTTTCCTCTTGATTTTCTTTTATTTTGCTTTTTTGACATAATTCATTGGATACGCCGAGCGGAAATCATGTCTGCGCTTAGTTTCAATTATACTACAGATATATACATATATATATATATATGTGTTTATGCTTACATATATGTACATATATAAAAAGACCTACACACATATGATTATGTAGATCTAGTCGTATTTTTGCCATTCAAAAACTTTTTGTGACGCTATCGCAGACTTTTCATCGATGGCTAGCCGAAGATGTTATATATTTCAATATAAACGCCAGATGACAGCGAAAATCTATTCTATTTAAATAGTTTGCATAAATAATTTGTGAAAATCTCTTTCCCATCTTCCTCATTAATTTTCTTGTACGTATCAGAATTAGTTTCGGACAAATAAGAGTCGAAAATCGAATTTTTTAATGCCAGAATTTCACTTAACTCGACTGTTCCATTCCATTTTGTTTCATTATCAATCAGCCGCTACTTCTTCAACTGTCGCATGAATAGTAGCCTGTTTCATTCCAATGATATATAACGTTTAACATTGCAGATCTTTTCCATTCCATTCCGTTCCATGCTAGTTGCTTCTTTTCCATTTTATTCTGCTTCAAGTCGAACTTAAAAGCAACACTACACTTGCACTAGAACTACATTAAACTCAACTAATAAAATCTTCAACTCATCACGTTTCATTCCATTCCGTTTTCTTTTATTCTAGTCCTGTTCCATTCCATTTTGCTCTGCTGTGCAAGTCTTGAACTAGGCACTACAATATAAATTTAACATTTAGCAGTGAACATATGTTCCATTCCATTCTGTTCCATGCCAGTTGTTTTCAATTTGTTGCGGGTGACAAACTTTTTGGGTGACTTCTTCATTAGGAAATTTGCAAATTGACAGGCAAATTCGCATTGCCATTTGCAGTTCCGTTCAGAAGACATCTGCCCATGGACCGGCTGGCGGGCTGGCTGGCTGCATGGCTGACTGTGGTGCGTAGGGGGCTGGGGAGTGGGTGTTGGCAATCATTAAAAACTATTTTGGTGTTTTCCTTTGGTTATGGCTGTCCGCTCGATTTTATGGCCAACTCGCAACTCACAGCTCGCAGCTCGCAGCTCGCAGCGCATGCAAACGCTTTTTGGCATTTGCCAGCCGCTGTTGCAGTTGCAGTTAAATTTATCGGCGACAGTTGCGCGCAGCATGTTGCAAGGCGGAAATTGCGCTCAGCCGCAACGTTGCATGGGAGCTAGTTGGCAATGCCAACTTCCTGGCTATATGCCTAATCCTGGCAATTAAACAGATCACAGATCACAGATCACAGATCGCAGATCGCGAATCACTTGAAATAGACAAAACAGTTGGACAATTGAATGGCAGCACTTGAAGGCCGCCCAAGCGCCAAGAAAACAACTTCAGCTAACATATTGACGGACTGACGGACTGAGGGACGGCTTGACTGACTGCCAGACTGACGGCTGCGCTGGGGGTCGCTTCTGTTTGCATTTGCGGCACATTTGCAACAAGACATTCCAGCGGACGCTTTGCCACATTTACTTTGAAAATAGACATCATTCAAAATCTCAAACAGCACTGGAACTTCCCCTATCGTCTCACTCTCTCTCTCTCTCTCCCTTTCTTTCGAAGAAGACTTTATGATGCTCGTTTGCTTCACCCTTTAAAATATGTCTGCATACATCTGTTAATAATCTTCAATATGTTGCAAGCATCTTTTGACTAAATGAGTTCATTAGGGGCATTCCCAACTGCCTTTTCATCTGAAAATTGGACATTCTTTCATTAGAGGCTCTCTCTCTCTCTGTCTTTCCTTTTCTCTCTCTTTCATTTTCTCTCTCTCTCTCTCTTTCTCACCTTTGCCATCCCTCTTTTTTGTCT